TGGATTACGGCGGTAATTTCGCGAACGAAATCTTTCAGCAGCCGGGTGTCGATCCTTGCATGCTGAAGCTAGAGCTATGATGTCTGAGAGCTTCTCCACCGAGTAATGCCCAAACAGGAGTAAGTGTTTGCTGGAGAATGATTCGTACATGATCTTTGAGATGAGGAACGAAAATCACTCAGCCAGAGTAGCAACCACCCCCCTCCAAAACAAACCCACCCATCAATCACCCCCCTCCCCCCCTCAAAACCCACTTCCCGCACCTTACCCCCGCCGAAATCGCCGCCCTCCCCTACCCGCCCGACCTCCTCCCCGGCGGCCGCGACGTCGCCACCCCCTACGGCAGCATCCGCGTCTTCGAATGGGGGCCCGAGCACGGCCCCAAGGTTCTGCTGCTCCCGGGCATCAGTACCCCCTGCGTGGCGCTGGCGGCGTTGGCCGAGGCGCTCGTGCGCCGTTGCGGGTGTCGCGTCATGCTGTTTGATCTGTTTGGGAGGGGGTACTCGGATGCGCCGGGGGGGGTGAGTTATGATGTGCGGTTGTATGTTTCGCAGGTGTTGTTGGTGTTGGCGTCGTCAAGGTTGGCGTGGACGGGTACGGGGGGGTTTCATTTGGTGGGGTATTCGTTGGGGGGAGGGCTGGCGGTGGCGTTTGCGAGGTACTTTGCGGGGGTGTTGAGGTCGCTTGTGTTGGTGGCGGGGTGTGGGTTGATCAGGGAGGAGCATGTGAGCTGGAAGAGTCGGGTGTTGTATTCGACGGGGGTGTTTCCCGAGGGGGTGCTGCAGTGGTTTATTAGGCGGCGGCTGATGCCTCGGAGGGAGAAGGGGGTTGCGGTGACGGAGACCAAGATGGCGGCGGAGGTGGTGGGGGTTAAGGATAGGGATGGGGAATGGCAGAAGAATAGTGATGCGAGCGGGGGGCAGTCGTTTGATAATGCGGTGTTGTTGGCGCGGAGGCCAGAGCATACCGTTTCTACGGTCATGGAGTGGCAACTGAGGCATCACCAGGGGTTCATTCCGGCGTTTGTGAGCAGTATACGGTACGCTCCCATTTACGGGCAGAAGGAGGATTGGTATGCATTGGGGCAGCTGCTGGCAGCGAGGAGAGAGAGATCCGTGTGGGACCACACAACGGACGAGTTACCCGGGCTTCGAGGGGGGAAGATCCTGCTCGTTTTGGGCTCGTCGGACCTGGTGATTGTGAAGGAGGAATTGTTGCATGATGCCACGGCTGTGTTGGGTGAGGATGGTTTCGAGGCGGTGGTGTTAAACGCTGGCCATGAGCTGATCATGACCAAGAGCGACGAGGTAGCAGCCGTGTTGGTCAACTTTTGGAGCCGCTTGCCAGACGAGGAGGAATGAGGAATGGGCACTTAGAGGTTAGAGGTTAGAAGCGCATAGATACCATCTCCTAGTATTACAAGGCAAGAAACGATCACTCAGCCGATATTCGGTTATTTATGAGTCCGTTTGTCCCATAAACGGAGAAATGGAAACCCAGAACCTCTGTCCAACCAGCTCGACCCACCAAACTCCCAGCAGCTCCCCGCTGCAATGCACTGAAAATCTCCGAGCCATCCACTAAAACATTTCCATTGGGCCGTCCCGAGCTCGGTTGCAACCCACCCCATCTGCAAGGCTGAAAGAAACCCAGAAAATTCTCCAACCGCCGCCCCTCCACCACCACCAACATCAAACAAACCACAACCGACCGACCGATCGATTGACCAACCGACATAACCCACGACAGGGCCCATGAGCCCAATCCAAAACCACCACCACGACACAAACCCAACCCACCCACCCCAAACAAACAAAACAAAACAAAATGACCGCCCCCACAATAAAGCTCCCCGCGCCGCTCTTCGCGCGCCTCTCGCCGCACCCCTTCCTCCTGCGCAACCTGACCTCGGCCGCCGACCCCTCGCGGCCCGCGACCCGCACCAACGGCCGCGGGACCCAGGAAACCCGCCCGCTACACGCCAAGACCTCCTCCCTCTCCCACGCCCACGGCAGCTCCCTCGTCCGCCTCGGCGACACCACCGTCCTGTGCGGTGTTCGGGGGGAGCTCTTGCCTGTGGAGAGGGTGCCGCTGTTTAGGCCGGTGGATAGGGGGGTGGGGGGTGGAGGGGA